AATATCATTACAATATTACATTATAATTGACAATAATTGTTTTTACATTTACATACAACATTATAATCGTTTCGTATGTTCGTTTTTGCATGGAAAAACATAATGAAAGAGAATGTACAAACACAATTGACAATCGAATATTATCATTAGATTGCGAATCTTTATGCATTTATGGGACGTGCAGGATTTAATAATTAATTTAATTTCGTTAATTTAATTACGTAATTAATAAAGTCCAATGCATTTTTATATTCTTCTTACTCGAATTTTTATTCCAATAAAATGTTATTCAGGTAAATTATTATCTAGATCAATTTTTATTCGATTGGAAATTTATTCGATAACACTGAATAAAATTTTATACATTAATTCCATTCTCTTATCTGTCATCCGAATAAAATTTTGCCCAATCCTGGTTACAATCAAATTTCAAGTAGAATATTCGATAATTTTGATGGCGTGAAATTGTTTTACGCTGAGTAAATATACGAGATAATTCTGTTACTCGAATCTATTGTTTACTGAGTCTATTTAAATACATAAATGAATACATGCTAGAACAGCTACGGCTACATCGAAACGGTCTTGTATTCGTTGTACGTACAGAGGTTATACATATGAAACGTGACTTGAACGCGTGAATTTTCGATCCAAGAAAGTCGAGGTGGAAGGAAAGCTTGACTCGCGTAAATTTAACAGGGACATTCGACATCACGTGGGTGGTAATAGTCCGGCCAACTGACAGCTAGAGTTTCATTCCCCCTTTTTTTTCTCTCCAACGTCTGACGTAGCATTCCTTGTTTAACTCGCGTATTTACGTGATAAATATAACCCAGCGACTTTTACGAAACCATGGCATGGTCCTTATTGCTCGGAAATTCTCGATTGTTAATTGTACTTTACTATTGTCACAAATTCTACATTCTTGTTACTGTGACCACTCATTGACTGGTCATTAATTTCATCCTACTTACGTGAAAAAAGTCGTTATCAACCGCGATGAATTATAATATTAGTTTATTTAATTGTAAGTAAATAAAAATCTCTTACTAGAACTATTGTCCTATTCAAATATTTTTGAACACTATGTTCAACGTTATTTAACATAAAATTACAGTAAGTTAAAAATCACTTTAATGTAATTGGTGTATTTCTTAATTATGTGCATTTTATATACAGGGTGGTCTGCCTAAGTAAGTCAACCTAAATATCTCCACAAATTGTGAGGGTACAACAAATGTTTCATATGCTACTTGTATGGTTTGAAAAAACATCAACTACACGGTGCAATAAAAAAATGTGCACTTATATGCAAATCAAGAACGATGACCTTGAAAACTCAGAAAATGGTGACCTCGAAGAAAATATATTTTGCAATATAATGGTTTCTTTAGAATATTCAGATAGCATACAAAATATTTGTTGTACCCCATGATTTGAAGAGATATTTAGGTGATCTTACTTCAGAGATTTCGCAACACGTAAAAACTCGGCGAGATATATCGCGTAAATCATTCGGTGATAAACTTTTAGATTATCGTGACCAGAAGACTGAAAGACCTAAACACATACTCTTAAATAATCGCATAATCGTGTCTTCCTCGATCTTCGAACAATTATTCCTAATCTGTGACTGCAGTGGATACGATCCAAATCCAATTTGAACAAAGGATATCAGAGATGATAAGTTTCTGTGGACCATCCTCGTGGATGCTGAAATTGTGATGCCACGAGGACGTAATCGAAATGATCCTTGGCGTGCACCTTACATGGTAAAAAGATTCACGAAGACGGAAAGTGGGGTTTGACCTTCCGTCCATGTACCAAGAACGGTCGTCTGCTCACTGGATTACGTATGCGACAAAGAACGTGATTGGATCGCGTCTCTCCATCATCTCCCTAATTGACAGTTTGCTCTGCAGCACCATAAATTGAGATCTTAATTAAATAGAAGAATGTGTATGAATCAGTAGCGTTTCTCTGTTCTGTTTCATCGCTTCACGAATTTTAGATTCTTTATGGTTCGAACCAAGAGATGCAGACAGAAATCGTTGAAAACGGGCCATACAAGCAGAATTGAGGATTATTCAAATAATAAATGGCGCGTTCCAAAAAAAATTCGAATAAAATTTTATTTGACTAATGTCTCAAATAATACAACTTCATTCGAATAAAATTCTATCTGAATAACGTTCCGAATAAAATTCTATTCGAATAATATATCGAATAAATTCTTCAAATAAAATTTGACTCGTGTTTCGTTATTCGAATAAAATATGCTCAACTCTACATACAATCGTCCATAAAATATCGTGTAGATACTATTAATTAAAATTATAATAAATGCAATATAAAATTTTAGTAAATATCACCAAATTTTCCACAAGAAGAACTCTGTAAGGGTGTTTTATTGTGATAGTAAAAATTAACTTACGGATTATATGGAAAAAAAACGTAGCCACCAAACGTTTGATATCATATGATATTATTTTTGGTACAATTTTGTGTTCTATACTTTTATGGAAACATAACGAAATTTAGGAACGAAATACTTATTGGACTATGTATTACACAATGAACAAAATCATATTGTTTATATACTCGTTTCGATAATGTTCACAATCAATGCAATGACATTTAATAAGATTTAAGGTAAAGTTAAATCGAAGTAATTTTTACACCAAATCTGTCGATCGATATACTGTTAATTTCAGTGGAAATTCTTTTTTTAATCACTAAAAATGCTGTGAACCTTTGAAGAAAAGAAAAAGAAGGATGAGCAGAAACTTCGAAAACAGTGTTCAAGCGCGAAGAAAATAGTCTCTGAGTCACACTCGTAAAATAAACGCGACGCATATTTAACATTCGGGATTTGTGGCGTTCATTTTTGTGCCTACCCGAATCGAATAGGCCGTTTATTTTGAAACTGGTACGACTGTACTTTTTTTATCCTCCAGTTGAAATCGTACCGAAATGTATTATGCGAATAAATCATTTTATATAAGAAACGCGCACGTTGTTGTTGCGTAACCAAAAGGGAAACATGAGTATAATATTATATTTTTACGTTTATCGTTTGTAGAATCGTTTTTATGTTTTATTTCTTAAGAATTTTAAGGTGTTAAATATAATGCAACAGTATCTTTAAACAGTTCAAGCATTTGAACTGTTTTTAATATGATTTAATCATTATTGTCATAGATGTATAAAGTTTACTTGTCACAGTAGTAATAAAACGTAACAGCAGTAATATTTTAAAGCATATCTATGGATAATTCTATTCTCGCATTTAGCTTCGAGTTTAGGGCATTTATAAACCACGTACCATATACAACGTTAAAATATAATGTCACAATTATTTCTTAAAAATTGTTCAAACTTTTAACGACTTACTTCAACATACCCAAAAGTCCAAATTTAATCCCTTTTGGACCCAGAGTTTAATAATCTTTGTTTGAATATCATGTTCCATGAAAATTATGTTTTATTAAGTTTTCACATGTTTAACTGAGAAATATGTAAAATAAAATTGATAAATACAATTCATTATTATGAATTATATTATTATATTATTCATATCATAAATGCCGCTGAGCATATTCGGTTATATTTTTGCCAGAAAGATCCGCCATTGGAGTATTAAATAGCACTGATCCAATTAAAATTAACATTATTTTTGCTGATTTTTTATATATGCCCTTAAACGAAAAAAACAAATCTAAATCAAAATTGTAAAAAGTGTCTTCCGACTCCTTTGGTAAAAATAGTGTACAATTAAAATTGCAAAAGCTATCGTATAATCTCTTTGGTAAAAATAGTATCAAAAATTGAGAGAATTTTAATTAAAATTTCACATACAAGCAGACTCGCCGCAGCACTTAAAATAAGTGGCTCAAACACAGATTAACGTTTTTGTGGGTTCGGCAAGACGAGGCGCCTTCACTAGTGACACGTACACAGATGTAACATAACGACTGCTACTGTTCGTGCAGCCTCTTAGAGACGATCAGAGTTTTTTAATGCAGCGAAATTAATTGCTGCACCGCTGGCATGTTGACCACTGCATTCGCAGTAATTCAACGTTAGCTGGCTTCTGCTAAGATCTACGAATATTTCCTGGCATCGTGTATTCATTTTACCATTTACATTACGTTAATTCTTATTCAAATAAATGACTAAAGAACCAATACGATAACGCTGCAACAGAATCTTATTTATGCTGTGACACCAGTGAACCGCGTAATGCTGTATAAAACTTCAAACTGACTTCAGACACGTTGAATAATTCAAACGGATGTGCAACCGCTCTTGCTGGTTCTCAATATATTCCACGCTGACAGTGTGACATTTCAAATTTGTTGTTCTCCACGAGATAACGATAAAAATCGGGAGAACTACGAGAAGATAAATATCAGAAATTTCTTACTGCTTCACCCATCTTCTACAATTTACTGCAACTTCACCAGATTTGAAAATGCTATGGATTACATTTTGTTTTCGTTCCCCTATAAAATATGCCACACATATTATAGCTCAGTTAAATAACTCTCTTCTTCGCTTCACTCTCAACTCGTTCATTAAACTTCCAATGAAATGAGCAATCATAAATCTATTATCACTTTTAATCATGATCAACTACTAGACTGCGAATTTTATGCATTTATAATGAAAATCAGATGAAGAATAACCAGCAAACAAATTAAAAGAATCAAACAATCTCTTATTTACAACAAATTAACATCAGAGAAAGAAGAAAAATTCTCTTATTGTTCTGAATTTTGATTCTGCATGAAGATCCACAGTCTACTAATTACTATCACATATAAAGAAAATTAATTTCTACAAAATTTTAAATGACAATATTATTAAAGCCATGCGAATTGGATAACTCGATAGACTAGGGTTAATAATAAAACATCTCAAACTAAAATAATGAGATGCAAAAACGAAAGTTACTGGCAAGTTATATCAGTTTTTCTGAAGAAAACTCGTGCACTCACCTCGCGAGAAAGGGTAATCCGATATTCACGATCGTACACCGTTCGCCTTTTTTGTTTTCGTTTCGTCGGCAATTTTCGCGCGTCGAACGGATCGTTCGATTAATTAGTCGAAAAGATAGCGCACGTGACACCGTACAGTGTCTGTTCAACACTGAGTCGATCCACTTGGCGAATCGCTCGCGTCGCAGCATTAGTATCCGCGCATGCGCAAACAGGTTTCCTTAAGTCAGGTGCTCAATTCGTCGATCACGTCAATTTCAAAGGAATCGAGAGACAGTGTGGGTCGAATTTGTATCGAATCAACCATTCACGTATCTCTGAGAAGAGGGGATTTCGATTTTTCTGTCTAAAATCAATTTCTGATCTCATTGAATCAATTTCAAACTCGAGACAGATCTTGTTTAAGTTATACAAGCTGTTTCTTAAGAAACTATATGGAGACAGTCCTCAGAAAAAAATAACACAAAGATTGTTTAGTCAGAAATGCATTTTATAAATATCCAGTAAAGTAGGAAATTAGTATGCAGGAAATTTTTTTTATTGTATGGTTTGGAACGAAGTATTTAATGATGCAACCTCGAAAAAGGCATTCGTTTAATTTCTAGGAAAGAAGAGAGTGCGAAGATATTTTTTTTAAATTGCATGTGAAGCATTTAATAGCACAATAAATTTTTAGAAGAAGAAGGTATATGTTTAATTTCTAGGAAATCAGGGATGCAAAAAGCTTTTCTTAAATTTTAACTGTAACATTTAATAGAGCGCGGAACATTTTTAGACAAATACATTTCTTCAATTAACATATTAAAAGCATAAACTTTTTGAAATTTTTCGTACTAATTGTTAATCTATTTATATTGTATTCATAATTCATTAATTAAAATAGAAAATATGTTATCATCCCTGTTATTATCTCGTTCTGATAGAAAATGGCCACCAAAGGAAACACATATAGAATGTATTTCTCAGAATTATCTCTTATAGAAATTTTATCAAAATCGATTTGTGCGATTTCTAAAAATATTCGTTTATAGTATGAAAGGACCAATATAGTAATATTCAGTCACGGAAATATATAGGTACCCGAAAATTAGGAACATTAGTAAATAAAAATGTAATTATTTGGATCATATCATAAAGAAAACTTCAATGAAGACAAAATATCTGATCTATTCGAATTTATCCAAGAAACAAAATCCATTGACAAAGATTAATGGATTAATAACTACTGATCAACGTCTCTAATAACCTAGTTATTGATTGAATGATTATAGAAACGGTATCAATCGAACTATAATGTGCAAAGAGTGTAAAGATTAATACCGTTTTTTAGAAATTACACTTCATTCTTAATGTGCCGGTACTGTTGATGGCAAAATTATGTAAACTACACTTACATTTCTTTTAAATTAGTCTACAAAAAGTAGATTTGCGTAAACGTTTTTTACCTACACCGGATTAATTCTGACGTCCAATGTGGTGTTTCATAATGGACACGAAGTGTTATTTTCGAAGTCAACGTAACTTATACAGTTATCATAAATTAGGTTACGAAGATTCAAATTAAGGAAAATTTATTTCTTCCCCGAAATACTGCTGCAAAATGTTTTAAAGAACTTTTGGTTTGAACATCTGTACTTTTTAGTTTTTATAACTTATATTTGTATTTTTTAGTAAAGATTATTTTCAAGATATAATTTAAATTTACTATTTTATAAAATTATTTTCAATATCTGTATCTCAACAATTTTTAATCATATTTACAATTCAAATGCCTTCTCTTATGACATATTTTTATCAATGAGAATTAATAACAATAATTTTAATCTGTAGATCTGTATTATAAAACACCTTCTTTAAAACAGTAAATAATCGACATTTACAAAAATTACACTTCTTGATAAGTGTCTTATAATTGCAAATATTGGATAAATATTAAATATAACAATATTTACTCAATATCAAAATTCATTAAAGTTTTAAACGAGAACTATATAAAATTTTAATAATAATTCTGAATATGTTCATGCTTTCCGGATTAGGGAACATCGGTTAAACTTGCATTGTTTTGAAGTTTCTATTGACACTTCAGAAGCAATTACCAGAGTCGGATTTAGATTTTTGCCACCCTGGACTAACATATTTTTGTCACCCCACAATGAGAAGGAATGGTAAAAACAAAAGTGATCATAAGCATTGAAAATACTAGATTTAGCATTTTTATGAATAATCAGCTATAACATTACTTAAGATTGTATGATTTTTTACTGTCTATAAAAAAATCTAAAGCGAAATTTTCCTTAAAAACCACCACGTCCGAGCAATTGCCGCCCTAGGCTATAGCCTACTTAGACTATACTTAAATCCGTTCCTGGCAATTACTGAACATATTTAGAAATGATGACATCACGATTTAATTCAGTGCAATATTAATGTTGATTTCATTTCAATGATCGCATCCACGTAAACTAAATCACTGATTAATTTATCTTAACGTCGCCAGAGCTATATAACCCTTGTACCCGTTATGATTTTCCAGAACTCGTAAAGACTTATTTTTATCAGCTACGTATTGTTTGCGTAATCCACGAACAGTTTTGTTGATAATTTCGATACTGAATATTGAGATTCTTGATCCGAATACATTTCTACCCACGCCATATTTCTTTTCCGTCGCCCACGACATCCCTTCCTTTCGTTTCGACAGTAAGAATCGTTATTTATGGCAATAACGACACCTGTATGTTCCCAGACAATTAAATGTACTAATATGGTTACTCTGCATTCTAATGAATTGTCGAAGCTGTAAACGTAATATTCCTCAATAAAGAAATCGTACAGTTAACCAACGGTACTCAAAATTCTATATGATTGGAGATATTTTCAGTAAACAATTACTTTGTACGTATAACGAAATTATTCTACTTGAATTAATTTTAGAATATGAAAAATTACATTCAAAATATGATCAAATAATAAAAAATTTACTTTAAATTCCTATGAAAATATTTTTCATTCTTTTCAAATAATTTACGTTCATATTCATTAATCAATTGTTCTTAATTTGAAATTTTTTACATTTAGTATATTATATAGAATGCGGTAAATATCTATAATATTCTAGAACAAAGAAGTCGTATCATAGATAGATCATATAATTTTATGTAATGTCATACTCAGATTTATGTAGCAAGTACGTTAAAATTTGTTAATAAAAATAGAGCGTATTGTATGTATATTTTTCAGATTTATTACGTTCCATTTAACATGAGCCAGCAGGAGCAAATGCACATATCATACACACGTAAGTGATGGAATCAACCGTTGTGAAACGTAATACCTGGAACAAAAAATATTTCGTTGAAATATGAATATGTATGAAATCGTGCATACACGCAATATTATTTCCATAATTACACAAATTTATAAACTGGTACGGAAACATGACATGTGTTAAATAAAATAAATATATTATTGCAATTTGTTTTAGTTTCTCCGGTTCATTCTAGAAAAATAGTTTTGTTTTCATTCACATTAAAATATGAACCAACAGATTACACAATAAATCCGTAATTTCGAAATTATTTATTTATTTCATTTTTTAAATATGTTATAATTATTTTAAATAAATAATAATAAGTATTATTATTATTTTAAATAAAAAGTAACTAATTTCAAATTTAATGAAAAAGTTTTATTACTAATTTCTTTTTTAGCTACGAATAATCGAATTACTTAACCAGTTTTTTGAAATTGAATTTTATCATTTATTTATTATAATATACGTATAATGCGAATGAAGTATATGGAATAATTTATTTCAGCTAACAAACCTAAACTCGTAGTCGTCGGTAATGTCGAGAGTTCAATTGAATGAAATTGTGTGTGTGTGCAATTATGAGCGTTCCAATCGACAATCAAAAATTCTTTACATATTTACCTTTATTTTACAGTCTATCAAAGTGTTGAAATATAACATATATACGTAATGTCCCTAATCTGTGTCTATCTATGAATTTGTTTGAACGCTTCATCGACTGCTGTAACGAGAGGAAATGATAGTATCAACAAAAATGTTACAGACAATAATTTAAACATAGAAAATACAAAATAAAAAGCACGAAATTGGAGTTACAAATTTATATTATAAATAAAGAATAATATTAATATAATTTAATAATATTTATTTTGTCATAATTAGACATAGAGTGATTAGAGACATTCATATAT